TCAATTCTTTCGGAAATGATATGTGAGTCTCTTGGGTTTGGAGATTTTTTTTGTTCCTGTGTAATCAATCATGCAGAGAAGCCGCCGAATTTAATAAGTAAAATGTATGTTTTGCAGTTTTGATTTTTTATTTTATGATTTGAAACACATCGAACATGGTATAATTTATTGTTGGTAAGCAATAAAAAATAACAAAAATTGCAGTATAAATAACTATACTCGGCTTTCAAAAATTATCGTTTATTAGATAGAAATGGTAATTTTCATAAGGCATGCCATCGAAACGGAATTATTTGGCATTCAAGATGCGTAGAAATTGGATATGCTATCAACCTCGTTCTTTCCTTTTTCAAACAGAATGGGCCATGGGGAAAAAATTGCTACAGAAAAGTAGATCCCTTCAAGTATTACATAACAAAAAAAAAGTTAAATCGACCATTGCAGTCTAATATACAGTTTGCTTAAATTGGAACACACTTAAAATACTTCCTAAACTATTGTGTTTCTGAAATATTCGAAGTTGAAAATTGAAAATATTTATAGCTTTTTTAATGGATCCAATTATTATTCTCAATATTTTCATCGTAAAACCGATTGCACTAGTTATAATAACAAAATAGTATATCGTGTACCTAGTAGTAAAAGCAGTACATTCCCGGACGACAAAGCTAAATGTAATAATATACAGGGTGTCCCAGAAATGGTGGGCAATCTCTCGGATATGGATAGATAATGAGAAAATAATGTCACAAGTTCATATACAATTTTTTCCTCCGAACTCACCCTGTAGAGTTATTAACTCTTGAAGTCGAGAATTAAAAATGGTTTTTTTGCTGTAACTTTTGTATTTTTAAATAAATTTTGAAAATTTTTTGGCTGGATCTATAATTTTTGAAGCTGCTTCGGATGATAATATGAAAATTTATGGTATTTTACATAAAAAAGTATACTTGTTGAATATCCATAAAATATACCAGGTATATAAGGTACCATTTAATTTGAGACATTTTATTTAATTGAAACACAGATTTAATCGTGGTTGGCTTTGACATGTCAGAGTATGCCAAAGGCAATTAAATTGTCAAACTTGTCAAATACGTAGTTCAAAATCAAAGACTCATCTCATAACTCATAATTTGTTATAAAATATGGAGATATGCTGATAAAATCTTCTTGCTTCGGCAGCAAGAAGATTTTATCAGCATTCTTATCCTAATAGAAGGATTCCGGATCGCAAAACTTTCGAACGTATTGAATCTGTTTCAATTAAATAAAATGTCTCAAAGTAAATGGTACCCTCCTCTTTAAACGGGTTTATCTCAAAAAATATCTATTTTATGGATATTCAACAAGTATACCTTTTTTACGTAAAATACCATAAATTTTTATAAAACTATGGAAAATTTGGGGTATAGTGGAACAAACATTTTTTTTCTAGAAATTTTGGTGGGGGGTGCTTTGCCCCCGGGCCCCCATAATTATTATCGAGGATTTCATATTATCATCCAAAGCAGCTTCAAAAATTATAGAACCAGCCAAATAATTTTCAAAATTTATTGAAAAATACAAAAGTTACAGCAAAAAAACCATTTTTAATTCTCAACTTCAAGAGCTAATAACTTTACAGGGTGAGCCCGGAGGGAAAAATTTTACATAAACTTGTGACATTATTTTCTCATTATCTATCCATATCCAAGAGATTGCCCACCATTTCCGGGACACCCTGTATACAGACTGTTACAAATTCGCTTTTCACTACAGGTATCTCGGAAACAGAGTAGCTTAAATAGGGGCAAAGTTGCATAATCAGGTGAACAACATTATGCCTCTAAAAAATCAAGGCTAACATGATTAGTTTTCTAAATATTTGAAAAAAAAAACGAAATTTTGGAAATCCGTTTTTGTTTAATTTAAGCCTTATTTGAGGTGATATTGAAAAAAGAAGAACACTTTCTCATGGCCACTTTTTGCCCTCTATCGAATGGCATAATCAATTTTTGTATGTAACGTTTCGTCCCTCCAGGACCATCATCAACTTCATTTTTTTAAATATGACCCTAGAAATTTTATTACATTTTTTGCAAGCCTTCATGACCCCCAAAAAAATGTAATAAAATTTCCAGGGTCGTATTTAAAAAAATGAAGTTAATGATGGTCCTAGAGAGACGAAACGTTACATATAAAAATTGATTATGCCATTCGATAGAGGGCAAACAGTGCCCATGAGAAAGTGTTCTTCTTTTTTCAATATCACCTCAAATAAGGCTGAAATGAAACAGGAACGAATTTCCAAAATTTCGTTTTTTTTTTTTCAAATATTTCGAAAACTAATCATGTTAGCCTCGATTTTTTAGAGACATAAAGTTGGTCTCCTGATTACTCAACTTTGCCCCCATTTAAGCTGCTTCATATCTCTTACCGTTTCCGACATCCCTGTAGTGAGAAGCGAACTTGTAACGCCTGTATACTTAATAAATAAGGTACCTATGTTAAGACAAGAAAATTTTAAAATATCTTGATATTAGATTTTCCTTTTAGGTTACCTTAATATTTGGTGTTGCCGGTACATGTCACTGTGATGAATTTTATAGACTAAATTTGAATGTTATAGATGATTTATGATCAAAGCTTTTGATTAAAATACCGGATAATAAAATGAAAAGACCGAGATCATTTGTGATAAACGAAATTTATACGCCACTGTATAGAAAATATGTTCCATGCCGCCCAGTAAATTGTGAAAGTTGCCGCTTTTTCTTTAAATATTAAAATGGGGGAGATTGCAGGCAAGGAATACATCAGTTTGGTTAAATGCCTCAAATTGTAGCAAAATTTTTAAATTTGCCAAAGGCAGATAAATACACAGAACACTGTTTCCGTCGATCCTCTGCGACCATTCTGGTTAATGCTGGGGCAGATTTGCATTAAAGAGACATGGGGGAAGAAAATCGTCAATGCTTTGTTAGTATTACATCCCTGCCAAAATGCAGTTTTCTAATTAAGGCCGTTTTTTAGAAAAAATTACCTATATGAAATTTTCTTACAAAATGTAACAAGGTATTCAACTATTTCGGACACCCTGTATGCTGATATACATTCAAATACATACACGCAACAATTTTTGACCTTCACAACAGAACTACAGGGTGAGTCAGTTTTTTGTAGACAAACTTTAACAGGAGATAGAACACATGTTTTTAAAAAGAAAAGTTCCTATAAACTTATGTCGTAGAAGGCTTCATTTCTGAGATACAGGGTGTTGAATATAATTTTTTTGTTCTCGAATTTTCATTATAACTTATAAATGAATTCTTAGATTTTTTTCATATTTGGGGGATAATGCCTATTGATTAAGGGGCATAAAACAAGCAGTAAGAATGTTCAAAAACTTGCACAGTGGCGGAGTGGAGGGGGTGCTCAACCCCTTTCTTAAACAGAACAACTACGCCAATGAATATTCTTTTAAAAAACTGTTATTTTCATTATCTACATACAGTTTAACAAAAATAATGTCACTTCTTCTGTTTCGAAATTCCTGTGCGTTTCCGAGTTATTTTGATTTTTAGTGTTTGATGTGGTACTAAATTAATTTATTTATTATCAATTATCGGCTAAATATTTAATTGTATTAACGAAACCTACCTAAATATGGTTTATTAAGGATTCTAAAAAGCCGAAATCTCATATTCTTTATCTCTTTCCAATGTAGTTAAAATAAATATTTGTTATATCAAGCCATACTCAAATACAAGACTTTTATAAATTGAAATCTGTTTAGTAGGTACACTAATTTTAACAATCCTTATTTATTATGTGCTGCGTACTAATGTACTGCAACTAAATTACAAAAAAAAAAATTGATGTTAATGTTTATGGAGAAATTTTTTGAATTTAGAACAATATTTAAGTAACAACTTCTTAAAACTTTTTGACAACTGCACAATAATGTATTGTATGTATGTAATGTAACAGATTTCAACTTATAAAAGTCTTGTATTTGAGTATAGCTTGATATAACAAATATTTATTTTGACTACATTGGAAAGAGATAAAGAATATGAGATTTCGGCTTTTAGAATCCTTAAAAAACCATATTTAGGTAGGTTTCGTTAATAGAATTAAATATTTAACAGATAATTGATAATAAATAAATTATTTAATTTAGTACCACATCAAACTCTAAAAATCAAAATAACTCTTAAACGCACAGGAATTTCGAAACGGAAGAAGGGACATTATTTTTGTTAAACTGTATGTAGATAATGAAAATAACAGTTTTTTTTTAAAATAGTCATTGGCGTAGAAGTTCTGTCTAAGAAAGAGGTTGAGCACCCCCTCCACTCCGCCACTGTGCAAGTTTTTGAACATTCTTATCGCTTGTTTTATGCCACTTAATTAATAGACATTATCTCCCAAACATGAAAAAAATCTAAGCATTCGTTTATAAATTATAGTGAAAATTCGAGAAAAAAAATATATTCAACACCCTGTATCTCGGAAACGAAGCCTTCTACGACATAGGTATACAGGAACTTTTCTTTTTAAAAACATGTGTTCTATCTCCTGTTAAAGTTTGTCTACAAAAAACTGACTCACCCTGTATAAACATGTTAATGTTAAAATTAACAGAGACTTTCGATTTCATTAATCCTTCCGCTAAAAAGTGACCTGGTAAAAAGGAATCATTTAAACTGGAAGTACCTTCTCTCACTATTAATGTTAGTGGGTTTAAATAAAATTCCAAACAACGCAAATAAATATTTCAAGTCGCAGTTGACCAACTGTCTATAGTTACACAAATTTATACATATTTATATTCAATTCCTACAAGCAATCATAAATCGATACAAATAGGATCTGAACAAAAGCCGACCCAGGGGCGGGCATATTAAAAATATGTACAGGTAGTTAGTTTAATTAGCGAGTGCGGAGAAATAAAAAATAAAATCGATAGGGGTGCCATGTGCGTTACCGTACAAATTGACTTTCACTTCACTTACCGCAGTAGTTTTTCGTTTTTCTCGTTTCTTTAACAGGATATTCCTCTTCAGCATAGCTTTCAGCTGAGAGAAGTATATGGAATGTTGTTTTTCGCCCATTGTTCCTCGACTTCGGTCCCCTTATCTAGTTTGCAACATTTCTGGAACAATACATAAAGCTAAATGTTTCAGTGTGTATTTTAAAATTGATAAATTGGTGTCTGTCCAAAGTGTGTCAGTGTATTTAGCGGGCAATACCATTTTACGGCCGTCCCCTAATGTTTTCCTATAGGAAAGGGAAGTGTTTACCTTCTTTTAATTAATTTTGATGACACATCTGACTCCGATATATTTTAGGATTTGACACGCGCTGAGAATTCACCGCTTAAAAATCAAATTAAAACCCAACGAAAGAGACGCAATCAATTGATATTATTCGGTGTACGGTTTATTTTTAGAAAAGGGAATTATATTACGTAGGTATATTAACAAGCAGTAAAATTAGTATAAATCAATTATCAACATCACGCAACAAAAACCGCCTCAGCGGTAAACTTTTACTCACCAATATATCCTAAGAACAGAAGCGTTAACAACTCAAACTAATGCTAATTCCTGATGAGGCGAAAAGAAAATGAAATATTCGACTCCCTGTGCCCGCTATTTTCCGATATACGCTTCCGCCATATTGAAAATACGCCGACCACCGAATTGACTTGCCTGAGTAAGCCACGCAAAGGACAATGTTCACTATCTAATGCCCATAACGTTCACTGGATGTAGTGAGTCTTACTGAAACACTAAGGTTTTCATCGGCGTTTGAAAAATGAACGTATTAAGTGGTTTCAAAGGGTGGATGACATAGTGAGGGGTGAATTAGACTGAAAAGGGGGTTGGAAAACGTGACGCCGACGCCGTCCGGCGCCGGGTTTTCCTAGAAGCTATGGCGGTGGGTGTAGATACAATAATTCCTTTGCCCTTTTACACGGTTCTGGACGAGGTTTTTAAGTAGAAATATTGAATACTATTACATTCTAATAATCTAAGTAAATTCTATGTAGGCCTAGAAAAATATTTTGTTTAGTTTTTAACTAATTACGGAGTAATTCTTTCTTTATGGTAAATGACAGCGTCTTTTCAATAAAAATTTAAATTTTCAATTTTTAGAGTTGGGATTTGTTTTATTGTTCCCTCTTCACACTACACTTCAAAAAAAAAACACTAGCTTTACAGTCTTTCCGATGTTAATTGAAGAGCCATGAGGTTGGCAGTATGTACCAGGTTCGTTCGCCGACGCAGCAACTCGGCATTGAAATATTTGAAAATTGTTCCCATATTTATTTAGCCATACCCATATACAGGTCTTGTCGCCCAGTCGAAAAATGAGCGCGCGTGCAAACGCGGCACAAACACAGCCGCACTGGGCGACCTGGCCATAAATTTATTTGTCGACAAATGGCCTAACAGTGCAGTGCAGCAATGCAGAATTTGATGTGATTCAGGTACTTTTAATTTATTATAGGCACCTTCTATTAATCATTCATATTATAATTGCGAAAGGGAGAAATAAGAGGGATATTTTGTTTACTAATATTATTACAACATGGCATTTTGGAGACCTTTTGAAACGGAAAAATACGAAATTTACCATCAATATAATAAAATTGTTTCACGCCTATGAAACTCATTAAATTTTATTGCTCGGAGTTTTTATACATGTTCAACTGACTTCGGAAAGGCTGTACCACTATGGTCGTTTATTATTCCCGTCATTCCATCTGTATATCTAGAGTGATTTTTTTACTCAATATTTAGTCAATTAAGAAACAAAGTTAAGCAAAATATTGCAAAACAATGTGTTAAGAACTAAAAAGAAAACGAATAGCATCTGAAATTGGGAAGTTTAACATTTATAAAAAAACATTATAACAAGGAGGTGTTTAGACCATCTTCCTTGCGTGTCAATACAGCTCTACATCATTTTCTTTTATTATAATTATGCGTCCCCTCAAACATCCCAAGTTCTGCTATAATAATTGTATTCTTCCATTCGCTGTTGGAATTCTTAATTGGCCCCGCATACGCCAAACTTTTAAGATAATATCAAGTAAAGAAGTCCAGCCAGTTAGGTCTGGTGATCTAGGTGGCCATTTGGTTCAATGGCCACCATACACGTAAGTTTCATTTAGGTACATCCGAACCCTTAATAAGAAATGAGGCGCATCATCGTGCATAAACCACAAACCACGCTTGACATTCAGTGGCACGTCTTCAAGTAGTGGTGGTAACACATTACACAAAGTGCAGATGTGCAGGATCGTTTAATTTGTTAGATAATACAACAGGTCCTATTAACCTATCTCCTAAAGTGACAATTCAACGTTTAAACTAAAGCATTGTTGACCCTGGCTTCAACAATAGCTGGGACTCTGAACACCAAAGTGCGCATTGTTGAAAATTCTATTCAAAATTAAAATTTACAGTGTGTTCTCTCAAACGTATCAACAAAATTACACTACAATTTGAAGATTAAGTTCTTGTTCCAGAACCGCTGATGAAGTTTGATGATTACACACAAACAAAGTTGTGTGTATTTCATGCGACATATGTTATTCGTAGTATTTTTGTCTCCAAAACCGGTGTCAGAATTGAGCTATCATATCACAGGAATTTCCTAACCTTAAAAAAACAGGTCAAAAATAGCAAAAATTCACGAAAAATTGCTAGGAAAAATAGAAATTTTCTTTCCTATATTCAAATGTTGATTTATATGATTAAGACCTCGCTGAACGTGAATCTGCGGTCAGAATTGATGTTTTTTCTAACCTCAAAAAAAAACGGGTCAATTAAGGTCAGATAATTTTGCAAAATTCAACATGGCGGATCCAAGATAGGCCACAAAAGAACACATTCGCGCCAAATTTGGTATACTTACGGTCGTTTTCGGGGTCGCTGATCACTAGTGTTCGGGGTTTTCGTCGGCTAGTCATAGGCATGTTCATCGTAAACAAATAAATAAACAGGTAGGTATAAATAAAAATAAATAAATTTTCGTACTTTATCAGCGAAAGGTCCTTTTTTATCCCTTGGTGCGTTCGACATTTTTAGAATATTCAAACACTTATACAGGAAGCAAAGGCGAGGCCAATAACTCCGTTATTACCGGTTTCGTACGATGCGCTGCAGCGAAAAGCTGACGCAACGGTTATGATCATCCGACCGAGTCCCGAACTCTACAGATCACGAATTCGAGGTCATAATTGGGAAATTCATTTTGTAATATATTTGTTTACCACTCTCTCTCTCCAATCAAGTTTTAACCTTTTTTTCGGCTATATCTTGTTCTTTTTTCTGTGAAATTCACGGGTTTTCTGCCTAATCTCAGGTAATAACGTAAGTGATTAAATTTTTAAAAACGAATTTTGTAAATATTATCTCGGATTCGAGATCAGTGACCCCGTAAACCCCCGTATACCAAATTTGGGGCGAATGTGCTATTTTTAGAAATTTTTTCGGCCATCTTGGATCCGCAAAATTGACTTCGGATCCGTGATCAGCGACCCCGAAAACCCCCGTATACCAAATTTGGCGCGAATCTGTAATTTTTTAAAAATTCCTGATGTCTGACCTTACTTAACCCTTTTTTTTGAGGTTAGAAAAAGATCCATCAATTCTGAGAGCAGATTCACGTTCGGCGGGGTCTTAACTATATAAATGAACATTTGAATATAGAAAAAAACAATGTTTGTATTTTTCTAGCACTTTTTCCTGAATTTTGCTATTTTATCCTGTTTTTTGAGGTTAGGACACTCCTGCGATGTAATAGTTCAATTCTGACACCGAATTCGTGATCAGTAGGCAAAAATACTACGGACAGCATATGTTGCATAAAAAGTACAGACAACTTTTTTTATGTGGCTGTATTATTTGAGGAAGGAATAGGCCGATTAGGATATGCCTTAGAATATAGAAGACGAGCTTCAAGTACATTACCATTGACATTTCTGCTACTTCTGCATTAGTGAACAAAAGCATAATTTATTTATTATTAAATAACTTCACAGCCAAGGCAAACAATAAAAATCGAATCATTTAAAAAAAAGAACAACATATTTTTGTAAACTTTAAAGGAAAACGATACTTTTGCGGATGTATTAATAATCCATTTATTAAGGTAAAAAATTGGTGTTGTCATGTGTGTGTAATCAAAATGTGTTATCATCTTACCGACAAGAGGAGTTTTTATGACAATATTTTGCAATTTTCTTGAAAACGGTAATATATAGGGTGTCCCATTTAAAATAAGAAGTTGGTGTCGTGCTGGAGAGTTCTGCTGGAGTATCTTAGTTGTGTTTGACCCAGGGACATTGCCATGTTACCAAATCTTATTAAGAACTTGCTATAAAACAGTAAAAATAATTTTTATTATTTTAAAGAATAAATTAGTTTTTATTTACTTTAGAAAAGAAAAAAAAAGTGCATTTTCTATGTAATTTACATTATTCTTTCCGAGAATGCTGTTATTTCAGTGGTATAGAAGCTCTGTAAAAAAAAAGAGATTGACAGACCCTGAATCTAGCCCTGAAAGTATCTCATTTATCAAATTATGCAGACTTATTAGATAATACTTGTACTAAATTTGAATTTGATTTGGTCAACCTGTTTGGAAGGTATAAAGAAACGGATTTTTTTTTCAGAAGCAAAGCGTTTTGAATTTATTTTCTTAATTTTGTTAACACCATTGTGTTTACTTTTTTCAACAAACCTTTTGGATCGATTTCCTTCGTAAGTTAATAAAAAAAAAATAAATATTTTTTCATAAATCAATTTTTAAGAAATCTTTGAGATATTGGAAATGAAACTAATTTGGATCAAAAAGTTGTCTGTATTTTTCATGAGACATAATAACATGTTATCCGTAGTATTTTTGCCTCTTGATCATGAATCTGGTGTCAGAATTGAGCTATCACATCATAGGAATTTCCTAACCTCAAAAAACAAGTCAAAAATAGCAAAAATTCACGAAAAAATGCTAGGCAAAAAACAAAAAATTTTTTTTCTATATTCAAATGTTCATTTATATGTTTCAGACACCGCCGAACGTAAATCAGCGGTCAGAA